GATCCTTTCTCATCTGTATCTCCTTCTTCTTCTGGTTCCACTTCCAAGGTTTCTGGCCGATTAGGTCGATCATATAGCTCTGTAATATAATTTTCCCAAATTTTCAGCACTTGCCTCTGATCTACTATTCTATTCTCCTGGGAGTCTTCGGTGCCAATATTTTGAATCCACTGTTCTCTTTCTATCCTAGTTCTTTTGTCTTCATGTACATCAAATCATAACATCCTGTCCTTTGAAATCCTATAATCTCATTTCTCATTACATATCTTCTCAAGATATTCCTTTTTGGCCCTGTCCGTGGTTCTTTTCAATTCATTCCTCAGTCTCCTGTATTTCCTCCTGCCTTCTTCATTGTTTACATTCTTCCATTTCCTTTGCTCCTCCATTTTACTCATCATCTTCTGTGTAACCCATGGTTTTCTTGCTATCTTCTCAACTTTACCAACCAATTCACTAATAGTATCTAACATGCATTCTTTTATATTGCTCCACTGCACTTCAGCATTTCTGCTTTCGCTGTAAATTACACTGCGTTTCTCTTCTAGGGTCTCCTGCACACTTTGTCTTTGAGCATATAACTTCTCCAAATCCCATCTAGGTCTGCGCTTTTGGAATCTTATAATTTTCTTCAACCTGGTTTGAAACTTGGCAACCAGTAAATTGTGGTCAGAGTCAATATCTGCCCCAGGCAGCGTCTTCACATCCTTCACACTGTTTCTGAATCTATATTTCAAAATGATGTAGTCCAGCTGATGCCACCTCCAATCCCCACGTGCCTTCCATGTGTAAAGTCTTCTCTTTGGCTTCTTGAACCAAGTGTTGGTAACAATCGGTGCGAGTATGAGGATGAATAAAATCCGGGACAATGATTTCAGAGTGACATGTGGTACTTATGGGGGAATCATAAAAGCACACTAAAATCTGGCTGATAAACCTGACGAGAGGCTTAGAGGATCTAGATGAAGACAGTAAAGCTATCTCTGTAACAGGCCGAGAAGGGCCACGTGAGACGTTGAGGCTCCCACATTTTCTCTAAACAACTGACTCACAGATGGTGGTAAGATTGTCAGGCTTACGTGCCAGTCGCCATTTACCTCCCAGGAATATTCCTGGTACTCATTTCTGTTAGAGGCTGAGTCAACCCCAGGGCCGTAACGTGGCTGGAAGGATTTGGTCAATTGAAAAAAGCCACCTCATTGGGACTCGAATCTGCGACCTTCCAGCTTGTAGCATGGTGCCCCAACCACGTTACCACATACCCCCCTAGACGTAGATGGAGATTATTAAAATGTATCATAATGAAAGAGGGTGGGAGGATGTGGACTGGATTAATTTGGCTCGGGACAGGCAGATCAGTAGCTGGCTGTGACATTTGGGTGGGGAATTGCTTGAGCAGATGTGAAACTGGTAGTTTCCACCAAATGATTCTGCTCCATGGAACCAATTCATTAACAGATGGCTTCAAAATATGTAATATCAGATCATGTGCTACTATTACACTGCATATTCTGAAGCTGCCAGGAAATACGCTATGAAACCAGAGCTCTGGCACTGCTGCGAACAAACTATGGGTTGGACTTGGGTTTCGATTTTCAGAAGTAATATATTTTCTCTTCTTCACAGCATCCAGGCCAGCTCTGACGTCCACCATGCCTCTTTTCCTTTGGGTAAAGTTGCAGAGGTGTGCAACTGACAACTAACCTCCATCTAATACCAGGGTTATGAATGCACAGCGCCATAAGGCGTAATGGAATAGTGCTTCATTAAGCATATAGCAGACTTTTTACGTGTGCTGGTAGAAGCACACAAGTTTCATGGAAAAGTGAACTTGGTGACATACGCACGTATGTTACCAAAATTCGACCTACTTAGACATACTAAGCATCACTACTTAAAACTTTCAAACACAACCTTATGTCTCAGTTGTCTCGTTCTTCTTTGTGAAGTTTGTGAACATATAAAAGCGTTTTGTCTTATGACCTATTCCTTTAGAGCTGAAGGTGTTCCTCATCTTTACGTAATTTCCTGTCTGTTCCAGGGATCATTTGAACTCTCATTAAAATCACCTTACCGCCATCTTGTATCTGTCATCCAAGTCTCCAAGTTGTCACAAACTTACTGTTTCCATCTACTGGCTGTTATTCGAATTAATAGTCGGGGCAAACTACGTATACCAACTGGTGAAATAGACAGCAATTTATCAACTTACCGGCAAATTCGGATTGATTGTACCTTATGTAATTCACGATCTACTATATAGAATGGTATACTGGAGGGTAAATAAGTAGAATATCACAGAATTGTAATTGTAGAAACTGTATAGTTATCCTGGAATTATATTGTATATATATATATAAATACAATTATATAATATTATATATTAAATATTGTGAGACCGAAAGTGAATAAAATAAAATAAAATAAAACATCACACTTCTTGATCTAATCAAACGGCTTCCTCTGTGGACCACTTTAAATATAATTTCTTCCCAGAATGAACGTTACGTAAAGAAATCCAAACTGCTCTGTTCTCATATTGTATCTGTCTTGATATACTGCAATTTCTGCGCCGAATTTTCACACTCTAAAAAAATTATTCTTGGTACTCATTCCTGTTGGAAGCTGAGTCGACACCAGGGCCATAGTGTGGCTGGAAGGATTAGGTAAATNATACCTCCAACCATCATTTTATTATTCAGTGCCTTTAGTATTAGATCGTTCAATCTATAAGATGCTTTTACTGTTGATGCTCCTAATCTGAATCCAAACTGTTCCTTTGTTAATATATTATTAGCTTCAATGTGTTGCATGAGTCTATTGTAAATGATTTTTTCAAATACTTTGGAAAATGAGGTCAGTAATGAAATTGGCCTATAATTAATCATATTTGTACTGTCTCCTTTCTTGAATATTGGTTTCACCATAGAATATTTTAAACGACTAGGAAAGATTCCTGATCTTATTGATTTATTACAGATATAATTTAGTGGAGCACTAATATAGGGAGCACTAATTTTTAAAATTGAAAAAATAATAATAAAAGGCGGCCGGCGCTTAAGGCTGACAACCTTACAGCGATCTTTGAGCCTGTTGTCTAAAGAAAATGAGGAAGCCTCGATGCATACAACCCTATGGGCCTTCGCGGCCTGTTGCAGAGATAGCTTACCGTTCACTAAAAATGCTTAAGGATATGTGTGGGCAAAGAAAGTATATCTACTACATTCCCTTCTCTATAAATCTATATATGGGTACCGATAAACTTGTTTCTATACTTTATCAATTCAACACCATCATATGAAAGCATATGGGAGAATGGAGGCATAGCTTTCCCATTCTTGACATCAGAACTTGATGGAGGTATGTAGTCAGCTTCTCCCTCAGCAGTTCTATCTCGGAGAAAAGAGCCCAAAGTATCCATTATCAATTGGAAAGTGGTCTGTGTAGGCCCCAAAAAACGATCTAGAGAAAAATCATTTGTCCCTGCCTATAATTGCAATCCGGTCGTCCAGCCAATCGCTATACCGACTCAATTCTTCCGGCTCCTGGCTTCTGAAAAGTATAGGTACATATTAAGAAGAAAACATAAGTTATGCATTGTAAACGCCAATTTCAAAGGTGCATAGAGTTCTGCTCTCTTATAATCAGTCTGCTGCGAGCAAATCCAGTGCACAAATGCAACTCGGACCAGGGTCTTTGTGGCCCCTGTTCCAGCAAATCTTTCCAAGCAAACTGCGGACATTTGTAATTTCTGTGTACCAGAACAAGCGTTCTAAAGTAACCGTGACCACGACAGACAGAAATTTGATTTACAAGGAAAGTGACACATTGCTTTGTGTTGCGTTGCATCACTGAATTCGACGTATCTCAGAACAACTTGAACATATAATTCTCGCACTCGTTTGCAATTGCCCGGAAGGATGTGTGAGAATGAGCAGGTGGATGCACAAACCTTAACCTATCCCAGCCCAACATAACCATCTCCTGTCTGGACAGGATCAGGAATGAATAAGAAGAATTTGGTCCCAGCAAATGCTTGAAAATCAATCTAACTGTATAAAAGCCCAACCCGAACGGACGTAGGCAATTGTACAAAAATATCAGAGACAGACAAGCCAACGCCGGTGTAATGTAGGAACCAAATTTTATCGAACATAACTTTATGTTCTTTGAACATGCTCCAGCAGAATCGTGACTAATAAATCCAGCCGCTATAAAAGAGATGCAATTTACCCCACGAACAGGAAATTCCCCTTGGAGCATCTAGCTCTGACAACCACGTGCACTACTCTAATGACAACTGTCCCGACGCACCTTACTTATCGATTTTCAGTGACATAATTGTTCGTTTTAGTTAACTTACCAAGACGAACTGTTTTTGCAATATTTGGTTACAGTTTAAGAGATAATCAAATCATACAATTACCTTACAAGGAAAACGCTTTTATGTTAGCATGTTATAGGCCGCGCCATAGCTCAAGCGGTTAGTCGCTGGCTTCCCACCGCGGCGGCCCGGGTTCGATCCCGGGTCTGGTCAAGTGGAATTTGTGGTGGACAAAGTGGCGCTAGGGCAGGTTTCCTCCGAGTACTTCGATTTTCCTTGCCAATCTTCACTCCATTAAATTCTCCATCATCATATTCACCCGGGGCAGGCTACAATAGGTCAATCAGTGGCCGCCGTGCCGAGTGGATCCAGTTGGACTCCATCCCCCACTAAGCGAATTAAAAAAAAAAAATTAATATCTTCACATCGGTAACTATGAAGGGCTTTATTCTCTGGAGCGGCGTTATAACCCAGAAGACAGAACTTTATTTATAGGTTCGGAATAATGAACCACGATCACCACGGTTATCGTTACAGAATAAAATACTAACTAACGCACAATGTGCGTTAGTTTTCTAAAGAATATACGTTCAATGATATTGTTTTTTATTTGCACTGTGGTACCACAGATTACTAAACATAGTTGTCTCTTCCGTTTGAGTAGTGAATCTGAAAATACTAAGCATACATCGCAGTCCGTATGTCCGTACGGTGCGTATGGTCGTGACCGGCTCTGGGGCCCACCCAGCCTCCTATCCCTCCTATCCAATACGTGCCGGGGTCTCTTTCCCTGGGGGTATGGCGACAGGGACGTGAAGCTAACCACTCACTTCCAACTAGAAACAAACGCACATCGAATGCATTTTCATGCGACAAGTTGTGCCTATGCAACTCTGGCTGTAACATGTGACACCCTGATTACAGCGACCTCTCTGAAAATAAAACCATTAATATCGGCGTTCTCTGTCGTCCTCTATTTCTCTATGTCAAAGAAATCTAATGCCGCCTAATGCTGTGTATCCTGTGTATTCTATGGTGGAGAGCGGTTGTGAGTGGCTCTGTGAATATGTGTATCGTGTGTCGCCCAGCGGTGTTCGAGAAGTATATGTTATGACGGTGAGGTATGCTACTGTAATGTTTGAACATACGGAATTGTAATTATGCAGGTAGTGCTTCTGTATAGTTAAAAGAAGTGAACGGCTTATGGGCATGGTTTTTGGTTAGCATTGTTTTGGAAGGATGAAATAAAGTAATGAGTAGAATGGCAACGACCGAAGAAAAGGAGCTTGAACTTATAAGACAGTTTAAACTTTACATGAGTGACCCTGAAAATGTAATATTGGCAGCAAACAGTGTGTTTGAAAAACTTGTTGATGATGTAATTCTAGGAGTTGTTTTTGAAGTTCATTATGCAGCTAAAGCAGGCTTATTTGACTTAGAAGATGGTGCTCAAGAAGAAAAAACAAACTGTGAAATAATGGATGGTAGTGATGTAGATATATTTGGTCAGCAACCAATTAAGAAAGCACAAGAATGCATTTGTTACTGTCCTACATGTAAACATAGCTTAGCTGCTTCTCGTTTTGCCCCCCATTTAGCAAAATGTATGGGGATGGGGCGAAACAGTTCAAGAATTGCTAGCCGCAGAATTGCAAACAACAGCAAGGAAAGTGTAGCATATAGTGGAATGATGAGTGATGATGAGGATGATGCAGACTGGACTGCAACTCCAGATCGGCGGCGAAAGAAACGAGAGCGGAATGGATCACGACGCTCAAAGAATCAGAAAACAGTACGCAATGGTGATGTGACTGTGGAGAGTAATGTTAGTACTGAAGTCAGCTCATCTAGTATAAACCCTTCGAACATGAATTATGATGGTATGACATATGAGGAAAAGAAAAGTCTTCTAATGCAGATCTGTGGTGTCATCTCTGAACATACAAGAAGGCTGTGTACACGCTCCATGAGATGCCCACAGCATTCAGATGAGCAGCGACGTGCTGTGAGGGCTTCACTCCTTGGCTCTCAGCTATCTGAAGCCAGTGCAACATCTGATATAATACAGGTTGATGTGGACACGTATGAAGAAGGTGATGGTCAGAGCATGCGAGAATCATTAGGTCGTAGTTGGGAGCAAGAACATTCAAATACATCATCACCAGCTGATTCTGCTTCCACAAGTTCATCATCATCCAAGAAGAGAGAGAAACTTCCAAAATCCAAAAGCAAAAACTCTTCTAAGAACCACAAAAGCTCACCAAACTTTCCAAATAATAATCATCATTCACAAGGAGATTAATGTTAAGTCATCTTAGGCTTATAAACACATTTGTTTCAATTTAGTTATAATTTTCAGTACAGCAGCCATAGACTGAAAGTCATATTTGTTTATAATCTGTTGTTTTAATTTATGCTTTAGGAGATACATAAATTTATGAATGTCTCTTATTGTTCGATGTAGACCTGTATAAAGTGATGTTGAGACAGAATTCAAATATTTATGTTGAATCATCATTACAATAGTATGTTTTCTAAAAGTAATTACTCTGCCATGTAGATGGGTCATTGTTCGTAAATTGAAGTGAATTGCTAACTCGTTTTCTTTAAGAATAGTGTTGTGAAGTCTATTTGCTCAGTGGGTTAATATAACCTCTCCTAATTAATGATGCATGCTCAGCCTTGGAGTCTTAAAGAAGTCTGAGAAGAGCTCATGTTGATAGTTTTATTGTCATAATTATGATATATTATGCACCTAAAATTTATGTTCTAATTTTCTGAGATATAATGCTTTGTAGTCCATTGAAAGTCAGCTGACATTTTGGAGGAACATATTGTTCCTCTGAAACATTGGTTGACTTAATGTGTTACAGTGCTATACCCAAGAAGATATAATTTTTCATAATAACCGTTGTGAGGACCTGAAATCTTGCAAATCTTACTCTGTCAAAGAATATACAGTAAAACTTGGTTATAGCAACATCGGTTTCTGCGACACCTTGTCTATTGCGTCAAATATTCAATGGTACGAACTAATTCCTCATAAAGCAACTGTTTTTATACCTTGCTTAGTACGACATGCACAAATGCATCAACCTCATATGTAACGTCATTTTCATTCCTCAATTTCTCTGATATGGACATTGAACGTAATTTAGAAAGTGTGTATTGGGAAAGTAACAGGAAACAGATGAAGATAACTGATTACTGTACTCGTATCTAGGTACAGTAAGGCACAACAATTGATGTAATCTACTGTAATTTGGTGAGTAGGCCTACCTTTAATATACAGTATTAGTGCGGTGTGTATTGTCAGTGAAAAGCGCTGTAATATGTCTTTGATATTACACATTTGGGCAATTCCACGTTAATGTTACGTTAGTCTGTACTTAACTACGTATTTCACTAAAAAATGCAACATTTTAACTCGGTTTTTGGTAGATTTTTACGTGACTAACATAAGGCTACTGTGGAAGTGCCCATTTCGGTTACGATGACATTCGTTTATAACGACACTATTTTTAGGTCCCTTTGATGACGTTATAACCAAGTTCTACTGTACATTAATGAAAAACATAACTTGCGAAGATTGCTGTCTCCCAGGATGTGATGCTGTGTAGGTACGAGGTAGGTAGGTACTTGCATTGTTCTATATTTGGTGGTGCCATCGCCAAATGTAGATCTGATGAACAAAATAAATTGAATTGGAGGAACCTACTGCATGTGTCTTCAAGGTAAAACTGGAAGCAGCAGGTTCCTCAAAAATGTCAGTACCAGTCTAACAAACAAGTCATCCCAGGAGACCCTGGTATTCATAGTTACTGCTGTGAGAACCTCAAATTTTGTGGAGACGGCCATAAAAAAGTTGTGAAAGTTATGTAGTTTAAACAAGTATGTGTGTGGAATTAGCTGCAAAAAATGTAAATCATAATATACAGCCTTTCATGATATGAAGTAATATTTTTTCTTCTGGTGGTATGACAGTATGTTGTACTGATATTTATTTTTGTTTATATATATATAAACTTAAGAGCATGATGGAAGGTGGAATAAAGATGAACTATTTTATTTTTACCTAAGTTTTGGTTTATCTTTTGAGAAAGAATAGGTCACATACAATTACTGGCATGTTTCATCCATGAATAGAAAGCACTACTGCTGTGTACAATTACAAACATGTGCATATATCAGACATTCAAATTTAATTTCAACTGAATTTTCATGAGTATTAAGACACATTCATGTAAGAGGTGTTATCATTATTTTGTATGTAACAGCAACAAGCATGGTTTATACCTCTGTAGTCTTCTCATTACTGAATGTACCCATTAAATACAGTATACAAATGAAGTGGTGTAGTTTCTCTAGTTTTTGATCTCATCTGTTGACACTGTGATAATTTGTCTGTCTAAACTCAGTATTTTAGACTGCAGATTCTCATCCAGTATGTTTTGATGCCCATTGAGCCTACACAGGATGGTACGGTGGGTCATTCTGTATATAACAGACAAAATATGGACAGTGTGTAAGCTAACTTAATTTTACTGTTACCATGGCATTAAATCACACGATCAGATGCTAGGAGACAAGCTGATTTGGTATTTCAGTGACTGTTGCTATTAGGTGCAGCAAGGACGAGCCAAGAAAATGTGTCTGGACTATTTGGATGGCTAATATGCAAACTACAAACGTGTTGAATAGTAGTATAGCACTGAACTAACCTGCCCAGTGAAATGGGTAGTTGAAATAATTGTTAAGGATAAATCATGTTTCTACAGGCAGCTGTCTGGTTATATGAAAGTCTGCATAAGAAACGAGTAAATAATTCGACTCTAATCCAATTTTGAGTTTACATGTAGAACATGGTCAAACTGCACAAGGCTAATACTCAGAAATGTTTCTAGTTTATTTCCTTGGATTTAGCATTTAGCACGTATTCCCTTGTATCTCATGGGGACATCTCTTTCAAAGTATATGTTGTGTATCTTAAAATAATGTAAAAACTTGAGGAAGGAGGGAAGAATAAAATAGTAGGGTCAATATGGGATTGGGAAAGGTTTCAAGAATGTACTGAGTAACATTTCACATTAAACATTTATTTCCCTAGAAACAAATATATTAACATATTACACATTTATCATCATCAGTAACGAGGATTATGTCTATTTGCCTATTCTGACTTCAATTCTAAATGAACTGATGTCCAACAATTTCTAGGTGTTTCTGTTGATATCCCTTTATTTTTCCATTTAAATATATTATATCCTTGTTTTCCCACTGCATTTATTTTTGTATCCCATCTACAATACTCTCTACACCAGTAGTTCTCAACCTCAAAGCAAGACGAACTCAATTTAGTAACAAGGTAATCAATATGATAAATGATACAAACTCCGTCTCAAGTGCAAGTGATTGTAATCAATATGATTCTTCCAACACAGCCTATTATCAATATTTAGGCCTAAAAATTTGATACACTCTAAGTTAGTAAATTTTGATCAATATTATTATGGACATGATCCTCATGGTTCATTAAAGTGAACTGAAGAGTGTGGGTTTTATGAATATTTAATTTTAACAGACTGGTTCTGAACCATGTATTAATATTGCAAAATATTCTGGTCATGGTTGATTTGTAGTCAGCGTATTCTGGATTAGTCACTATTATACTTGTATCATCTGCATATAAGAATATGCAGAAGAATATAAGAATAAGAAATCTTAGTTATATCATTTATATACAAGAGGAAAATAAGTGGGCCAAGATTGAACCTTGGGGTACACCAAATTTTACTTCTGCCCAACTAGACGAGCTATTAATAGAACTGTTAGGGCCAAGGGTTACTCTTTGATATCTTCCATTCAGGTAAGATTTAATTAAGGCACCAAACTTGCCAGTTATTCCATAAAACTCCAATTTTTCGATAAGTATATCATGATTGATACAATCAAAGGCTTTGTGTAAGTCGCAAAATATTCCCCCAACAAACTGTCTATTATAATAGATTGAATGAATAATTATTCATTGCTTTTAGTATTTCCTCTATTAATTTGAAAGATGCTTTTTCTGTAGATGAATTAGGTCTAAAACCATACTGATTATTGTCCAATATAAGATTACTGTCTACATGTTCATACAATTTATTATATATAACCCTTTCAATCTGTGTTCACTTCAGGATGCAGGATTCTTGTTCATTCCATTCTCTATCCCTGCTAACTATGTACTTTAAGAAGCATGAGATGTGAACAGAGTTATAATTTATTATAGTCACATGTTATTTTATGGTTGTTTATTTATACCTTATCATTTTTATCAAGAAACTCATGAGAGTAAGACACAGGCATCCATCCACAGTGATGAAATGGTTCCCACCCCAATTCATCCTTCAAACTCTACAGAAACCAAACAAACTGTAGTTCACAATCTCTTGTGTAGTGATGTTCTAATACCGTGATGGGGTAGGGCCACTGACCCAGTCCACAATGGCCTTGTTGTGCCAAACATAGCAGCCACGTGGTGACTTCACACCTGATGGAAGGAGTGCCAAATAGAGTGGTGCTTCTGCTCCTACATGTACAGATGAAATAATTTTTATTAGTCCTGTTTTCCATCAGAGACAGATACGTTTTGTGTAATCACTGTGCCTGTCTCTACCATCTTCACAATTTCCAAACTACTGATGCACAGGAGTAAACAATCATACTGTGAAAACCTTTGTACATATACAAATACAGAAGGGAAAGAAAGTGAACACACAGGCTGTCAAACAAAAAATATGGATAAATATGCATGTATCCATTACATTTGTACCTGTGTGTATGTAATTGTGTTTTACCATTAGCACAGAATTACTGAGAGGTTATGAAGAAAAGGATATGGAAACAAGTGTGGCCTACTTTAAGATACTTCTGGAATGCACTGAGGAGAACAGAATACTTCATCCAATCATCAAAATTAAGATTTGAATCTTGGAATTCCCAAACAGAAGCAGGAATGCTAACCAATATATAATGATATTTAGTGTCATTAAAATGTATTTTTTAATATCACATGAAACACTTGTGACCATCTGAGCTCCTGACCAACAACTGAGACAGAATGTACAGTATCTCAGAAACTATTACAGAGAATTCTCATGTTCTGCTCCTTGTTGTGAGATTATTAAGTAATACTGTCAAAATTATGCAGACATGTTGAATGAAATATGACAGGAAGCAGCCATTATCAATTTTAAGGACTATCTAACAATTCATGAAACTTTCGGGATTGTCAGTTCCCTTACTGAGAAAATGTACTCAGGGTATTGCTATAAATTTATTTTTAACTTGCCTTGTTCAATAGTCAATGGTCCTGTGTGACTTGTCATATCAGTATCCACGTACCCAGGATGAACAGCATTCACTATGAGGTCCTCCCGAGGATCAGCATCGAATGCACGTTGCTGTATAAAGGTTAAGGCACTAACTCCTACTTTTGACACTTGGTATGTTGAATTAGGCCAGCCCTCAGCTCGATGGTTTCCTAATTTTGCAGCCCTGAAAGCACGTGCAAATAAAGAAATATCTTCTTTGTAACATCATTTTATCCAGTATTTTCACTTTCTCCATTTCTAGTATGGTTGTTAGATGACTGACAAAACTACTGTTTTGTTGCCTGGAAACCATCAATGCCCGATGTACACTATGTAATGGCATGGTGGTAAATAACGGAACACTCATCAGCTATAATGTATATTTATAAAACTGTCATGAAAAATAAGACATTTTTCTATGTCAATGAAGTTCATTTAAGAAAAACCTGCATAACATTCTTTTGGGGTCACTGGGAATATATTCAAATTAATGTCATAATAAATAAGAAATTTAATTTAACAATTTATTTTAAGGAAAAGCAGGTGCAAATCAGTGCTTTGCTATTGTGCAGTTTTCTAAACAGTGCATCTGTGAAGTAATCTTATGTGTTACTGAGTTCATCCAACTTGATGGGAGGAGCAACTGAGCATGCTGTCAGTGTGTGCACTCGCATAACTTACTGTACATACAGTGCATACAATCAAGTGCGCGCCGCGGCTGCAATTTGCCGTGAGTCATACCACCGCAGAACGGATGCAGTCGCGGGGAGTGTTGCANTAAGCTACAGGCTAGATGGCCAGGATTTTATTCCCAGCAGGGGCAAGAATTTTCTCTACTCCACAGTGTCTAAGAGTGTCCATGGAGTCCACCCAACCTCCTATCCTATGGGTACCAGAGGGCTGCTTCCACAGGGAGAAAGCTGCAGAGGCATGAAGTTGACCACTCATGTCCATCTAATGCTGAGTTAAAAAAGGTGGAACTATATCTCTTCTTCTCCACTTGTCTTCTTGGTGTGGTTCTTACTTAAGTACAGGAACAACTTTAACACACACGCACAAAATGTGTTCCGCGACATATTGGCCAAACTTCAGTAGCATGTTCTAAAGGTTATTTACAGCAAAAATATCCGATAAACTGAAAGTTGCTCCACCACTGCTATTAAATCAAGAACTAATGGAGGAATGTGGAACTGCCATAACTTGACCAAGAACCTGCTTGCATGCTGTTTAGGCTAGTGTGGCTATGTTGTGTTGCAATGTCATCATAGACCAAATACCTAACATGTATGTATGAGAATGTAAACAGAGCTCTGAGAGAGACTGGTACCCTCCCTCAAGCAAACGCAGAAAGTGACTAACAGCACAGAGAATATGATGTTCTGGCAGCAGTGCAGTGAAGCCCAAGCACAATTATATGCAGAATTTCCAGGACTGGTGTAGCAGACACACAGGTATAGAGAATTTTGTACCATGATAGTTTCTGTCCATATCACCTTCAATGAGTACATCTCTTACTGTGTGCTCCCACAAACAATTTATGACGTGAATGGATGCAACCACAGCTACACATTCTGCATGAAATTCTTTTGATGGACAGGGCTCAATTTACCTAGGATGGTATTACCAACACAAGGAATTTGCACTCTTGAGCAAACAAAAATCCACATGAGGATGAAGAGCATTATTTTGAATACCAATTTTCAGCTAATGTTTGGCGTGGAGTATTGGGCAATAATCTGATTGCACCATATGTTAATAAGGGGTGTTTAACAGCTCTGTACTACAGGAGTTTTCTAGAAAATGAATAATCACTGCATTTTGAGGATGTGTCTCCTGTAACACAAAGATGAATGTGGCTACAACATGATGGAGCACCTCTTCATTTTGGTAGAGTGGTAACAGAATTTCTTCATGAAGAAGGCGTGGCATACACGCTCTTGTTCATTGCTGGCAAAAGTGTGTAATGAATGGTGGTGATTATGTAGAAAAATAACTAAGTAGCTGAAATCTTGCTCTATTTAACTGTACTATTATTCTTTGTGTATCTTTGTAGTTTTCATAAAAAAAAATAGGAGCAATTATATATGGAACACTCCTCGTATTTCAGTAATTTTATTCCCTCCATAAAATACGAAGTTCTCAAAATATCTTCAATAAAAGAAACTTGAGCACATGCGTGCACACACACACACATACAGATTTGTGCTTCTCAGAGTGAAGAATATTAATGTGTCATTCTACGATGTGTGACACCATGCAGGAACATACTGCCTTCATCTTCAGGACAGATGTTGGAAGCAGCAAGTTCTCTGAAGGGTTGGTACATGCCTATTGCACAGATTCACATCCCAGAAGACACAATCTTAAGAAAAACTAAACCTGTGAGCAGTATTTGCAGAATACTAGAAAAACTACTGCAAGAACATGAGGCAGTTAGAGTTAGCAAACAAGGCAATATATAAAGTAATACAGGAATCAAAAAAGTGTCAAACTTTCATCCTTTGACTTTAGGTGAACTACAAATTGTCTTCACATGGGTCATACCACTGGATGTAAAAGATCTGCATGTTTTCTCTGATGTCAGGTAAGCAGCGTCAAGAAGTAGGCTAGTTCAGTCTAGAGTCCACTAAGAAACCTAGCAGTAAATTTACATAAAATTATTAGGTAATACCTCAGTATATCATGTTGATGGATAGGTGAGAAGAGATGGAGTAATATCGTCAAACACAGTCCTCTGAATGTCTTTCAAGTGGAAAGCCCTCACACATCCAGGGAGTATTCACAGTTCTTGCAGTGAAATATAAATCTTATACTCATTCACTCACTCACTCATGTAGCCGAGCCCTTCTTGAGAAGACACCAACTGTGCAGCTTATAAATATTATACTAACACGATAAATTGTTTCATGAGATCAGTCAACTCTTCTTCAGTAAGAGTTGAACTTGACAACTTCTCTCTAAGTAGCTCTCCTGGAATCTTCTTTAGGTGACCTTCACAACTTGACAGATTGACCACACGGGCGTGGGGTCGCAGAAGTGGAAACAGCATATGGCAGGTATTCAACAAGCTGAAGAAGTTCACATGCAAAGTGTTTTCAGCCTGAACTCCAAAAGGCTCAGTAGCTGCAGACTAGAAATGAAGATTGTCTATATCACACTTATGTCCACCAAGTTTTATTGATTCAGATCCTCTGATTCACAAATCCTCATTCAAACTCTAGGCTATCTGTAAGGTTCTCTATTGACAACCAAACACCACAGTGTGACTGTTAATATTCCCACATCATGTTTTGGAGGTCTAATGCTGAACAGTGACTACAGTGAACTTCATCTGTGTTCATATTCAGTCACTGCAGCAAGTGCTGGGATAGTACTCTACCTCCTGCTGGGCAATGGCTGGTTCATTTTGCATCCTTCCAAATTCACCATTCAGTTATTTCTTCCCAAACTTCAAAAAGTGACTCTCTGCTTAACTGTACCTATTATGTAATCAGAGGGTGTGCAATGTGTCACAATACTGAGCCTGTCTCATGGGCATAGGAGAGGCAAACTGTTACACCACAATACTGGCCTGTTGCTACCTATACAAAAAATTACTAGACGATGTTCACCCCTTTGCTTAGTAAGAACATATCTTTAGTTTGTTAGTGTTAGCGTTGGCCATATTATGACAGGACATTATACTGTGTTCATCATAACCATCATCACTTACTTTGTATGCTATAGCAGCATTATTGACCAAAACATCAATTCCACCATGTTCATTTTTAATGAAATCACGGAATGTTTCCAAACTCTTTTGATCAGTGATATCAAACTGATGAAACTTCGGCTTTAGACCCAACTGAAATCAGAAAATCAATGAGGCATTACCAACCTAAATTTTATTTTATTAACTTCATAACACATATATCATACTATGTTTCCACCCCCTTCAGTATGAATAAAAGAAGTGTGATTATTCACAGATTCCTCACTCTATCCATAGTACATATAAATGTCCAAAACAAAGCACCACATTATGAATAACAGGTTACCAAACTATTTTACTTCATATCTGTATGGGTGTGAAACCTGGTCTCTCACCCTCAAGGAAGAACATATATATTTCAACAAATAAGTCCTAAGGATGACGTCTATAGCAAAGAAAGAGGAAGAATGAGGGAATAGGGAAAATTACACAGGAAACTTTGTAATTTCCGCTTTTCACAAGATGTTACAATGTACTAAAATCTTCTTGGATGATCAGCCACATCAATGTTGAGATAAAGATAAACATTTCAGAGGTCTCCTCTGTCTCCATCATCAGAGCTGATGTGGTAGTATGATCACACATGTTAATCCTGATGATGGAGACAGATTAGATCTCTGAAATATTGGTTCTTTAATTGACACTCATGCATGATCATCCGACAAGATGATATTTATTCACTGTGAAAACTTCAAATCTTATGTGTTATAATGATTAAAACAAGGATGAGACATCTGGGCTGCATCAGGGAAATGAGAAATACACATAAACTAATTATAAACGCTCAGGGGAAGAGACAAATTGGGATCACCAGGCATAGGTGGCAGGATAGCTTTAACCTTCATTGTGTGTACATCACACATCTGTGCAGTGCATGCTGTGCATCAGCAGGCCCCCAAATGTCTAGCATCACACTTTTTAAATCTAAACCCCAATTATCTTGAAGCTGAAATCCAGCTGCCCATGCCGCAGTAATATGATATTTAAATCTTATCATTAAAGGTTAAAAAGAAGCTTGGGGAAATGGTTTTGTTAGTGAAGACTGGAATTAATTGGCTCAGGGTAGAGCCCAAAGATGGGCTCTTGTGAATAGAGCAATGAGACTTTAGATTACATAAAAGCAGGGGATTCAATGGCCATCTATGAACTTATGAGTGAGATGGTTAACACCTTCTGTAATTCTGAGACAGCTGCTTCACCCCGTCCAACATCTCTTGCAGTCAAGTAGACAATTCCATCAAATTTTTCACACAGTCCTTTCACAATGGCATAGCCAATGCCTTTATTTCCACCAGTAACCTAAAGACAAAGAAAAGCCTGTCATGCACAATGTACTTCCACTAAGGAGCTCTTATCATGTTATATTAAGACCTTTCGCACAGATACACTCAGTAAACATTTCATCTTACCGTTGACCTTAATATGACTAAAAGCAAGCAATAAGAAAGAATAAAAGAAGGTACTTTCCAAAATACCCTATTTTTTAATTAAGTATATCCACACATTTATAATAATTTATCTATGCTAAAGTGTTATTAGTTACAGGACAGTTTTATAATTTCAATTTTATCCTCATGACATAAGTGAGTGGAAAATTAATTTCACTACTTACTAATATCAGAATTGATAATTTTAGGTGAAGAGCTCAAGTAACCTGTTGATAAGACATTAATAATGAAACAATCAAAGAAGAATAAGCCATACTTTACTTCTGAGGATGGATTATTGTGATCACTAGAAATGTTTTGGGATGTGTACAATTCCTTACCAGCTGACAAATTGACTCGTGCAGGCAGTGTAAGTTCAGACTGAACGTCAGTCCACAAGGCATGACGGAATCTGGCAAAGAGCGCTCTTTACACTTTTGAGGCAGGCTTTTCATGACACTGCTGTATCACATGTCACAGTTTTTCTAAACTTCAGACACATCACACTTTGTGGCTTCAGTTATACGATGAACAATGGACAATGAACTGCTATCACATTTATTATATTCATTTTACTGACAAAATAGAGGCTACTTGGAAAAAAATTCATTGTCTTCCTGAAGTTTTCATAATTAATGAACAGAATAAAATGTATCAATAATAAAGACAGCAGCAAAAAACTGAAGACAGAGTAACTGAGGGAAACATTACTTATGTAAAGATTATAATAAAGGATTCATGAAGAACATACAGACACACTGAGACAGATTCAGACAGTATTTCATCACGTGATTCACCCATTTTATCCACACAATATATAATACTGCATCGTAGCACCTTGTTGCACATCACCCATTTATTCCTGTTATCCATTAGGTTGTCTCACATGCAACTTGTTTTTTAAAACAAAACAGCTACACATGACACAGTAAGAGGATATATCCCAAAAACTGAACTTACGGTCTACAACACAGCAGATTCATCAGCAATATTAGAGAAACATAAGGATGACCAATGTTGGTTGAAACAAGGAGTGATGTTGAGATTTTAAAGTTTAAAACCTTAAAAGGTTTCAATAAGCAAGTTCCACATAATAAGCTCCATATGAGGATCGTTTTATGCCAAAGGGTGCTTCACGACCTCACAGAAACCACAAAATATGATGCAGGAACATGCATAATCAGCCTGGGAATGCTGACTCTCCATTTTTTGTCACTGTCATCCACAGTGAGACATGAGCCTATTTTAGCCTGAAGCAATTTGACTTCCAGGCAAATGGATCTTTGATAATGGCACTTCTCTGAGAAAGCAAAAATGCCAAATCAATACTGAAACAAGGAGGGTGGTGCCTCTCTTTTCAATAAATGTTCACATAGTTACAGTTACACTTGAAACTCACTGCACTGCTGTTGTGCAGTTTTGCACAAAATCTGCCTTACCTGCGGGACTGAAAAGTTTCAGAAACATGGCTATGAACATTCCTCTTGCTCCATGATAATTCTACACAGTAACAAAACCTACATTCCCTTTTTTCATATCACTTCAGCACAGCTCCTCACCTACCCCAGCCTACAGTCCACACATGATATAATACTTGGCACAGTCACCTCCGTGTATTCCTTCACTCTCAAGGGCATCAGAGGTAAATTTGGCTCTCCCCCCAAAATTTTGACAGGTAACAGTGTTACATGGGATGAGGTTCTCACTGTGGCCAGTGTTAGGCATCCATGTTGGTAATGCCTGATATTAAACTGCAAACTCAGGAAATGATGCCACGTAATTTGCTAGAGTTGTCAAAGGAATACACTGCTTCCCTCTTCATTTACCTGGATGACAGGCATTAATACTCTTTTGACCTACCACCAACTTTAAATACTTCTGACGTGTCTGTTCTGGCATTAACAATATTCAAATAAATACAACTGATTTTACACAATAGAATTGAACATAATTTACATACACTCCACAGAACATTCACAGGCCTAGGCCAAGGATATGTCATAATAAAATAAGCTATAGTTGTCCCTATGCACTATGCCAGGAAGAGAATATGGGGGAGTGTAGGAATATCTCCAACATTCTTGACCTCCAGTACCAGATGAAGGTGAGTGGTCAGCTTAATGCCTCTGCTGCTTTACCCCTGGGGAAACTGCCCCTGATACCCAGCAGATAGGTGGCTGGGTGGGCTCCAGAGTCAGTCTGAATGCTATAGAGAAGATAAAAATCTTGTAATGCCAGGAATTGAACCCGGGCCACCCAGTTCATAGCCTATCCCTATACTGACACCCTCTAACATGTTGTAATATAAATAAATACTTGTTTTTATTCAAATATAAATACAAATACAAAGTTGTAACAGCTATCTACATATTTACAGACACACCTTGTAATACACCAAAACAAGTTTATGAAAAAATCACCCCATTTTTACTTTTGTGTATTTATAACTCTTAATTTTTATGAGGGTATATTCTTCTACAGAATAGAAGGAATAAGATAGATGGTACCCTTCTACCGCTGGCTTAAACAGTTTTGGATCATGATTCAAACATCTGATTGTAGAAGGATGATTAATGAACAATTATTTTCTAGTATGGCAAATCTTTTTAATTATTTACTTAGGTTAGTGGTTGGCACACAGAGGTTATAATGTATCCTGTACTTATACTGTGTACATCTGAATGTGTTCTCACATCTTGCAAGTTGTTCACAACATAATAATGGGTTTAACAATTAGCTAGCTGGTTGAAGAATAAAAATTTACTAAATAATACCCTACACGTGACTACTTTTAACGCCCGTCATTATTCTAATGATTTTCTTTTGGACTCATAACACATTTTTGCTGCCTGTTGAACTTCTGAAACTTACTCCATACGACATGATGGAACGTAAGAAAGTGAAATAAACTAATTTTGAAGTTTCTGTTTTCATGAGTGAAGCATGATGAACACTATTTCGGGTTAACACACTATATTCAAAACGGTGCTCTTGCCCTTCCTTAAAAGTTTCTGTAAATTTGAAGGCTAAGGTTGGTGTCAGAACTTGTACCAATATGAATTAGCGACTTCTTACCAGTTGGGTTATTTATTCCCTTTTTTATAATTCAATGTTACCGACTATATAATACGTTACATATTTTTATGACGCGTAAAATATTTACCACAGCAATCTTCGTGTTAGACATTTCTAACTCGATTTCTCGTATTCTTACTGTCGCTTGACAATTGGAAACACCCTTATGATCCTTATGATCTGCAGAAAAGCGTAAGTACGATTAACGACCTTCTTGCGTTCTTCGCATTTATCAATTTCCACGCCCTTGATTGTGAGTGATATAGATCAGCGACACACTTTGCAGAGGAACACAGATAATAATAGTACGCGTAGATGGCGAATGGACATGTTGCCATTGCTACTGTATAACTAATTGCCATGGACAGTTTGTGACGTCATATAACAACTGTTGACTGACAACACTGTAGTTGCACAAATTCGCTGAAGTTGGTTTCTTAGAACGAAGGTTGTTGGACGTACAGAAGTGTAATCTTTCTTTTCTTCTGGTCAAGTGATTAGTTTGCGTGTATTACCGAATTTAATATTGTTACCGTTTTGAAGACAGTGCAAGTTTTCGTTAAAATGTTGCTTGTTGCCTGTCAATTTTTAAAGGACTTCCTGAGAATTGAAGAGCCTTGTGTTTCTGCGTCTGAAGTTAAAGGGAAAATATTTGCTACATGGGTAAGTGAGATATTTGAACACTTTGTCTTATATATCACGTTAGTGCAAAAATCCAATCTTCTGTGGCTGGTAAACAGAGTAACTTCACACACACACACACACACACAAAAAAAGGCCCTTTGGAAACGTTGATTTCAGGTTTTGTCACTAACCATTGCGTAAGTGTTCTAACCTATCACGCTCACTAATCTGTCATTAAACTGTGGTTTCTTTGCATTTTCACTTGCTAAGATATTAATTTGAAATTAGGAAGATTTCTGTGATGGCACCAAAACAATTGGAAGTATAGGATAAAGTAAATCTAGCTCTTTAGCCTAATCAGTGCACCATGGAGATTTATGGGGGTTGTGAAGGTAAAAATAACACACATTCTTCTTTGGGTGTGTAGAATCGGAAAATGTTCTATAAAAAGTGGATACTGTTAAAGAGACTTGTTTTTGTTTGTACTTGTAGGGGCTATAAAGCTTCTGTATCCATCGTTTGACACATGTATTTCCATTGTTACTTCTGTAAGCCTTGATGTAGAAGAATTAGGTTGTGTAATACTCTGAAAGAAGTGATTAGGCTATGTGATTAATGGGAACACCACTGGCATGAAGTGCTCTAATTAAATGTTTCTTGATCTGTAAGTCTTTGATTATATGAAACTTGTTGAGCCTGTTTTTTCCTCAAATATTTCCGACCAATATGCATGTGACAGACATATGCTAAAAGGAAATATTTTATTCTGGACAGGCATGCCTTTTCATGGCAAGCAGTTATTTTTCTGTTACATTGTTGCCACATTCTTTGAATGTTTGGCTGCATTACATCTTTGTTGTATCTGAAATTAGAAATGTACATGGAACTTCTTAAATTCTTTTTTAAAAGACTGATTATGGTCCTTCTTTTTTCAGGGTTTTGATGAAAGTGATGTATACTTATTGTACAATGGCAAACAAGTGCCAGACAGCAGCACTCTTACAAATGGTATTGTTCATGCTATTCCTCGACTTGTTGGAGGTAAAGGAGGTAAGTACTCCAGTAAACATCTTTTCTTCAAATATTGTCATTTCACATACATGTTAGACATTCCATTCCATTTTTATATAGCAGCCAGGCTTTATGAAATCAGACCCTTTTTCTTATAACCCTTAGGGTAAGTGTGCAAACATGGAGCCAGAAATGTCTATCTTGAGTAAAATGTAGCTCCACACGAACATTAAAGGTTAAATCATCCTTATTATCAAAGTATCTGTCAATAATGCAACAATTTAAAAGACATTAGGAATATGTTTCACACTGAAAATGTATTTTGACACTTTTTGATGTTGGTAACATCATTACATGTCCATAGGACATTAAAAGCATATTCTATACATTAAAAGTGATTAATCCATTTTTTTTTCAAAAATGTTGTTAGTCATATATTTGTTCTAGCTTTTGACGTGTTTCAGCCACATGTGCCATCATCAGGTAATTTCCCTTCTTTTGGGGAAACCACTGCACTGTATACTTGTTCACTGTGCTTCAATGCACATCAGTATTTGGCACTATATCATGATCAGAATGCTGTCGTCGTATTCTGTTGCGGCTGTTGTAGTTTTTGTGTGTCACATGTATCACTAGTGTGGTCTACCTGTGCCACTTTTAATCTATAGAATGTGCATTTAATGTCCTATTGACACATAATGATTTCAACATCATCAAAAAGTGTCAAATACATTTTTAGTGTGAAACATATACCTACTGTCTTTTAAATTGTTGCATTATTGATGGATACTTTGATAATAAGGATGATGCCTCATTGCAACGGGATCTAAAATATACAATTAAAGGCTAAAGCTTATTTGTGGGCTGGACTTTTATAGACTGTACCAAACATTAAATCTGTGAATACATAGTATAGAACAGACATGATACCGTCATGCCGCTTTTTGTGTGGTCTGCTTGAGTGGATTTATTTTCTTTTAACTTTAGCCCTGTATATTTCAGAAAGAAAATAATTCTTTATAACGGTACAGTGTATAAAGGAAAGCAGCTGTTTGGCAGCAAAATGTATAAGATTATCTTATTTTTTCATGTTGGAATCCACAGATAATAACTTCACACTTGCTTTCTCTTATGTTCATTGCTGGATCAACATGGTATTCTACCTGCCCCTTTTTCCAATATTTTATATTTTTGTTTTATTCTGCCCATGTTCCATGTAGGTACTTTAATGTATTGGTCCTTAATTATTTATGCTTGTTCATTTTCAGTGTAACAATGTTAGTGTCAGTTCTGGATATTCTCTTTTGAGACTGTAATAATTTGATTTTTATGTTACTGGGTCACTAACCCGATGCATAACCCCCACAGTTGGAGGACCACACCACTATCTCATTAAACACTTTCTGAAGTAGTGGTCTGAGGCCACACAAAGTCTCCACTGCATGTGGCCCACTGAGGCCATCCTTTACTTCCTGTCACCCCCCTCCACCCGAATGTAAACACCAAAGTTGGATTTGAGTACAGAGTACTGATTTAAATATTCTTTGAATTGTAAAACAGTTGTTTTGTATGGCAGTAATTTCACTTGCTTAATTGTTCTGTTTCAGGTTTTGGGTCCATGTTGCGTGCTATTGGGGCACAGATTGAAAAGACAACAAACCGTGAGGCATGTCGAGATCTCAGTGGGAGGCGGCTTAGGGATATAAATGAAGAGAAAAGGTGAGACATAAATAAACTGAATCTGAGACAGAGTTACGTCATAGGTACTGGCGTGCGACATTTCACCTTCATTGTGCAGGAGTTTAAATTCCTCATACACCTGTTTGAATCAAATTATCATTTAAAATACCATAAAGTGCCATGTCATAAAATTAACTCTATTTAATTTTTTTAGGCCAGAAACTCAAAACTAAGAGTACCGAGGATGACTGTAGACAAAGTTCTGATATAACCAGTGTTTATAAATATTGTTTAGTGTACATTCTTTTACACTTACTTTGATTATTGTCATGTACTTCAGTCCCCTCCCCTGTTCCTTCCTTCCTCATAGTGAACTGAATGATAGCAAGCATTCCCTGTCCATATTTAAGTTACCCACAAATTTCTCATGAATCAAATTTTCATTTGTTACTGTCATTCACAAATATTTGAACTTTGTCACATTTTCAAAGGATATGTTAACTATAACCTCTTTATTACAGCCATCACAACACAACTAATATCAAGATCAGTGCTGGTTTGCTCAACATATATTGGACACCACACATGAATATAGTACAATAGACAAAACATTAGAAGTTCTGTATATCGGCAAGAAAGGCCGAAGCTTGGATACATATGAAAGATTTCACATTTATGAAATCAGCAAACTAAATTTGCAACTGAATGATAATTTTACCGAAATGTTTAACCCTATATATGATGTAATCATTGATACATACAAAACATAATACACATCCCCCCTACCACCACTAATGCATACACCTTATCTCTACCTCCCCCTCCCCCCCTCGCACTCACTTTTAACATACATCACCAAATCAGTCGTCGTTTACACTGGTGTTCTTGGACCTTCCAAAAGCAAAGGTGAATGAAGTGATTCTGTGTTCTGTTTAGGCTGAAGAACTGGATAGCACAGCAAGCAGAACGAGAGCAGGAGACATCAGAACGGAAAAGAAGGAAGCTAGAGCGACTTCGAGAGGAACCAAAACATTGCTTCAATGATGAAATTTATGAAAGAGAACGCTCCTTGCTGACAGAGAAAGTCAGTGAAGCTGTTGAACAAGGTACCAGTTAGATTAAATTTACATATTGAAATTGACTGTTTAACCAACTGAAGTTCTGAAGTCATTGCTTATTCTTTTTAGCCCAGCAGTTATTACTGTCTCACTTTTGTGCAAATTCAGTTAATGTTTATACCACTACATGTTTCAGCTTAACTGACCATCATCAGGTGTATAAACTGTATGGGATGAACGAACCTGCTGTTCTGTTTTTCATTTTTGTAAATGCCTCAGGATATTATAGGTTATATTGGGTTATCATGCTCTTGTTATGCACATGTCTGGTTTATCTTTTTGTTCTGTGTGTGACTGTTGTGGGTTTTTCTGTAGGCGCAGAAGCCTAAGCCACACACACAACCAAAGGACAAAGCAACAAAGAAATTGGCTAGACATATGCATAACAGTGGTATCATAGCCCAACAGCTCATACACCTGATGATGCCCAGCTAGCATGTAGTGTTTTGTAGTAAAGAGACGAAGACATGTGAACATCAATTGAAGTTGCACATAGATGGCAAGAAGTGGAACACAAAGTTAAGATTTACACAGTGGAACAGGATGCTACGATGTAATATTATTACTGTGACTTGTTATGATGAAGGCATTGGGAAAAACCAAAACTTTATGCGAGAGCTTTTTGTATACATAATGTTAAGAAACTGATGCTGACAATAATACAGTATGCGCCAAAATATACAGTACTGAAACTCGCACATGTGCGTTTATCCATGGGGCATAGCACCAGCTGCATGTGTTCCCAGTATTGAAAAGGAAGTCGTGTTGTGCAGTTGTTGGAAATGGGTCTCTCGACAGAGGAAAAAGTATTCATAGTTGAGTATTATTTCCGCTCATATGGAAGTGGTCGCCAGACAACTCGCTTCTTTGGTTTTAAGCGGCCAGATGTTATTGTCCAGAAACCACTACATAGTACACGTGTGACAATATGGTGTGCCATCTCAGCACATGGTATATATGGTTCCTATTTCATTGAGGATGAGGAAGACAGTGCACTTACCGTCACCCAAGAACGCTACAGGGACATGGTGAGTGGAACATTTCTTCAGGATTTGAGAAGATTCTGTCATGCAAGGGGCCTTCACATGAATAGACCCTGGTATCAACAACACATCTTTTCATTTCAGTACTGTAGTTTTTGGCGCATACTGTATTTGTTGCTGTAATGAACCCCTTGTCATAAGCTATACTCCCTTTATTATTATTACACAGTGTACGAATTACAGTGTAGAGAATAGGATGAATTTTGGGGGTGGCCAGTTTTGTTTGTGTTCTCTACAGGGATTTCTTCTTCTGACATATATAATCTTTGACAGAAAAAGTTATATAGTTGTACCATTGAGGCAAACAGTTCCCAGTTACGATTTTTATAAATGTTCCTGTCAAGGTAACATAATGCATTTTTGAGGTGGGAACTCTGTATCAGGTAGATTCTATTGCTTTGAGATAGAGGATACTGTAGATTTGCACTGGAGAGGGTGTAATACACCTATGTTGATCTGTGAACTTTCAAACAACTGCCTTGTGGGTCTTGTGATTTATGATTAGTTAAGTAAAACACAAACTGACATTAAAATGAGGAAAAACCAGGAAATGGTGTTTCAAAAAATTTAAATGGCTACTCCAGGCAGAGCACATAGCCATTTAAGTGCCAACATGAAGGATTAACATGGATTTTCAACATTGTCAAAAGATCTGATATTTCATAGTCCTGTTTGGGCTTTGGCAAAATTGAGTTCTTCAGCCTGTGCGTAAGACATTTCTAATCATAAAATCAGAATTCAGAACTGTGAATTCTCAGTGTGGAGTCCAGTGTCGTGCCCCAAGAACAAATCTCCACTTTTTAAACTGTTATATTATAATAGTTTGTATTTCTATCTAGGTTACAGGGCTGCAGCAAAGAATAATGGAGATACAGGATGCAGACAGAAACGAAAAGCAACAGACACTGCACCAAATGCAGCAAAGAAGAAGAAAGGATGCTTATGGTGAGTCTGAGGACGTTTGTGTTGTACTTATTTTAGTAGTACCACACGATAGCATAATTGGTTGAGGCAGTATGCTACAAGCTGGAAGGTTGTGGGTTCGAGTCCCAGTGAGATGGATTTTTTTCAATTTACCTTATCCTTCAAGTCACACTATGGCCCTGGGGTTGACTCAGCCTCCAACAGAAATGAGTGCCAGGAATCTTTCTGGGTGGTAGAGGGCAGCTGGCCGGCACATGAGGCTAACAGCCTTACCACCATCTGTGAGCCAATTGCCTAGAGAAAATGTGACTGTTTTGTGAAACTCACTATGAATATTTTGCTGTGACAGTTCTCTCCTATCATGATATATTGAGTAAAAGTAAAGGAACAGTAGTAAAGTAGTGCCCTGAAGCCATATATGGTGATAGATCTATGTAAAGCAAGCAATGTTTGTCTTTTTTTTTAATTTGAAACAACAAAATGGTGTCCAAATGAAGTAATGTTATGATGGTTAATGATGTATCATTGTAACTTAACATAAAAAATTTATATGGTAACATGTAACAGACATCTGCTAGCAGGAGGCATGACTTTAAAATAAAATTCTTTTCTGTCTAATGGATAGAAACTCAGAGATGCATCAATACAACAGCAGATGCTCTAAATACTCACTATTACATGTGATTGCACTTACAGGTTGGATCCCGATGAAGAAGATTTAAGCTTCTCAAGCAGTGATGATGATTCGGGTGATGATATTCGACCACAGACATCAGGTAAAGGAGGAGAACTTGTGGTAAATGACAGTGGACCATGTGATGCAGTGGCTAACTCTGATGAAGGTGCTTCAAGTGACACCTGTAGCGACAAGAAGCCAGAGGATGCAGTAGACAACGATTATAAGATAGCTGTAGAAACAGCAAACAAATGATATAATGTTTGATAATTGTAAATGATTTAATATTTGATGGTTGTAATAAAAATTATGTTGTAATTAAATACATTTTTCATACATGTGTACTGTTGTCTGGTTTTTCCCATAAACACATAGCAAGTAGTACTGCATTAAAAATACAGAATTCATATATCAGTAATACTGGACCTAACTCAGTGGAGCAGAGTCATTCTTGAGAAGAGTGAGTGACTCCATCAAGAACTTTTGAACTCTTAGAGAACCTGAAAGTGCTTTACTGTGTTCATAAATGCCCACAACTGGACCCTTTTCTGAGCTAGATGAATCCAGTCCACATTCTCACAACCCATTTCTCTAAACTCCACCTTAATATTATCTTGCCATCTATAGTTTTCCTAAATGGTCTTTTGCTTTCAGTTTCTGTGATTAACATACTGAATGCATTTTTCTTCTGTTCCAGGCAAGGGACATATCCTCTCCCCATTTTATTTCCCTTGATTTCATTGCCAACACATTACTTAGCATATGTTTAAACACTTTCTTAAAGCCACTGTCTTTCATAATAATGTAGGTTATCATCTTACAAATGTTTCTGTTCTGCTCATAACATGTTTTGGCCCAGACAGGTTGTTATCAGGTGATATGTGAGAAATATATGATGACAGATTTGTATAAAACTACAATAAAGTCCATGGCTTTTAGTTCGCAAGCGAACTGTACTGATCAAACCACTGCTTGTTGGCAAAGTTAGTGCCCAATTTTGCGGATAGAGGGTGTCATGATCAACACGACAGATTCCCACACCCCTTAATCTCAGTTTTCTAGATGCGAGCCGCTACTTTTCCATTCAAGTAGTTCCTCAATTATCCTCACAAGGCTGAATGGACCCTGTTCCAGACCCACTACTTCTCAGAAAATCTGGTAGCACCCGCAATCGAACTCGGGACCTCTGGATCTGTAGCCAGGAACTCTGGCCACCAGATCACAGAGGCAGTCATAAATCTACAATGCTAGAACAAATTTGAAAATGTTAGTAAAATTAGGTTAAATCCAAATTAATATCATGTACACATAAAATTTCAGCATTAAAAAAAATCCCTAAAAAAGAGTAAAAGTAAAGGTATCCCTGTAACAGGCCGTGGAGGCCAATAGGGTTGTGAGATGTTGAGCTTCCTACATTTTCTAGACAATCAGCTTATAGATGGCAGCAAAGTTGTCAGCCCTATGTGCTGGCCGCCCTTTATCCCCAAGAATATTCCTGGTACTCATTTCTGTCAGAGGCTGTGTCGACCTCAGGGCTACCATGCAGCTGGAAGAATTAGGTCAATTGAAAAAAATCCAATGACCTCATTGGGACTTGAACCCACTACCTTCTGGCTTGTAGCATAGTGCCTCAACCAACTATGCTACCGTGTGCCCCATATATATTAAATTTAAAAGATTAATTTGTCAGACAAATTTCATTCATGTATGTATATTTTTACTTTTAAAATTTAATGTGTATAAAATCTTAAGTTGGATATGACCTAATTTAAATAACAAATTTTCAATTTTATAGCAGCATTATTATTTTTATAGAATTCTGCCATCATTTATATATTTCTCACATATCACCTGATAACAGCCTGTCTGGGAAAAAACATGTTATGAGCAGAATTGTAAAAACATCTGTTTGTGTTATGGTAACCCGTCCATTTTTAATTTTATTATCTTTCATACATTGCACATCACCTTACATGCATGGTGTGATGAGTTTCCAGACTGGCAGCTTTATATATGACATTACTGCTGTAGTGTAATTCCTCTGCTAGGCAGAAGTGCAGTGGAGTTTTCTGTTCAGTTTCACAGCTGTAACTTCCAACACAGGAAGTGAGATTATGTGTTGTTGCCTCTGTGATCTGCATTTAATCAGAAAATTTACTGACTTAAAACAGCATGTGTGCAACAAGTTGTGCTTCATACTAAGCAAAACTGCTATATAACCTTAAAGTTGAAAGGGTAAGTTGTCCCTATGCTTAACTAACGATATGGGGGAGTGGACATACAGATCAACATTTTCTTGATATTAGCACTAGTTGGAGGTGAGTGGTCAGCTTCACACCCAGGCTGCTTTACCCCCAGGAAAGAGCCCCTTGTACCCATTGTATAGGAGGTTGGGTGAACCCTAGAGCCAGTTTGGACGACATAGAGAAGTGAAAATTCTTGACTCTACTGTGACTCAAACTCCGACTCCTCAGTCATTCAGCCCATAGCCAGTCACAATACTGACTCCCGGTTCCATATAAACCTAAAATTTGTCAAAACTAATTTTCAGAAAGGAATCAGTAAACAGAACCCAAATATTTGAATGGTTTTCCATCTTCAAAAGAGTGACATCAGTCACTGATGCTTAGTGCCCATGACTACAACCAGAAGTTAAACAGATGAAAATGTGATGGAGATCAAGGAATTTGTTCATAAAAGCAAATGCGTTGTTATCTGTGACTTTGTTAATGAGGTAGGAATTTTGTATCGTGCCAAAACATTTTGACTCAAGATATGATCAAGCAACAAACTGCTGCAACATCCATGCCTAATCTGTTGACTGAGAGCAAAAGGAGAATCATTGAATTTCTGGCTTAAAACAGCAGGCTCTTTCTTCTTCTGATATAGTGCGGTGTGACTTTAATTTTCCAGAACACAGTTTGTCACTGAGGGGGAGGAGTTTTGAAGAAATCAGAATGATTCAGGCAATACTTGATGAGTTCAAAAGACAGGACACTCTGCTGCAAATCTTCCAGCACTGACACAATCACTGGATTCAATGCATCAAGATTTTATTTTTTAAAATGGTTTCTCCCTTTAATTATTCTTAGAGATCTCATTTCAGTTGTGTGTGTTACATTCAGATTCGGTTTCTTTAACGTCAAAGCTTCATGTCTGTACAACTATTTGGCAACTGGTATCATTCTCTTGCAGAAGAATATTTTAACAATCTAGGTTATAACAGTTAGACTTAATTATAACGTGGACACAAAAGTTTATAGGTTGCAACATATAAACTGTATTCTACTAAGAGCTTTATCAGACCAATAGTAACTAACTCCATGGTGCTGAGTTCTTGAGAAGCCACCAGTTGATCAGATACTGGAGGATTTCCCAATGTTTTATGGATCCCAAAGGGTTCATTACTGTGTCCACAAGAGCCTTTCACTAGTCGCTATCCTGAGTCAGATCAATCCAGTCCATATCACCCAGAACCAGAAGGTTCATTATTATATTTACAAGAGCCCACCACTGGTCCTATCCTAAGCCAGATCGATCCAGTCCATACCATCTCATCCTATCTAAGATCCATTTTAATATTGTCCACCCACCTACATTTTGGCCTTCCTAGTGGTCTCTTTGCTTCTGGCTTTCCCGCTAATATCCTATATATATTCCTCTTCTCCCTCATTTGTGCTACATACCCTGCCCATCTCATTCTTCTTGACTTGATCATTCAAATTATACTTGGAGAAGAGCACAAGTTATAAAGCTCCACATTATGCAGTTTTCTCTAACCTCCTGTCACTTCTTTTCTCTTTGGTTCAAATATTCTCCTCAGCAACCTGTTCTACACCCTCAGCCTATGTTCCTTCCTTTATGTCAAAGACTTAAGTTTCACTCCCATACAGAACCACAGGCAAAATTGTAGTTTCATATATTCTAATTTTTACATTTTTAGACAACAGATGAGAAGACAAAAGGTTCTGGAATTAATGGTAGCAAGTATTGTCTGAATTCAGTCTCCTCTTAATTTCCTCCTGAATCAGGTTTTGATTTGTTATAGTCCTACCCAAATATCTGAACTGTGCCACATTTTAACATCATCTGTTACCTATCTTTATGCCATGATTTTGCCCTGCATTTTGGTGACGAGACAGCAACATATATTTAGTTTTCTCTGTGTTTACTACATTTCCTCAAGTGGATGTTCTCGTGTCATGGATGAAGAAGATTTTCGTCATGGCTCCAGCTCGTAAAATGCAATTTAATTCTATGGCTCCTTGTGTTCCACTGCCCCTGGAACCCGTCATCACAAGGTGGGGAACATGGACTGATTTACTTTTGCGATTATTTTCAGGTAGTGAAAAACATTGTAGATACAATGAAGACAGAAGATGCGAGGGCAACTGAATCTGCTGAGGAACAGTTCTCGTGCAGCAGAATAGAAGGACAGCAGGCCTTCACAAAGGCAATTTTCAGTTCCTTGACCGAAGGAATCAAATACTTACAGGAGAAAGGAGTAACGCTAGAAGATTCACTCGCTCTGGTGAAAAAATGGCCAGTGCTCTGGAGAAAGTGTCAGGGGTCACTGGTCAAAATGGTGTCAAGAAAAATGAGAAATGATCTAGATAAAACCTCAGGTTATGAAACATTACGCAACATTTCTCGAATTCTGACAGGAGAGTCCTTCAGCACTATTAATACTGAAGGACTTACTGCTAGTGATTTGGTACACATCAAGTATGCTCCCTTTGTGGCTGCAGATGTGGAAAGCAGTTTCTAAAAGTACAAGAATGTGCTGTCGGACAATAGACTCTCATTCACCTTCGAGAATCTCCACATCTTAACTGTCATCTATTGCAAATCGGAATGAGGTGACACTTAAATATTGGGATATAGACCGTATACGTACATTTGATAAGCGTTCCAAAGTGGTAGAAAAAATGGTATTAAAACATTTAGCTCCAAATTCAACCATAATTGCTTAAATTCAGCATAAAAACGAGGATGAACTTAAAAGAGTAACGATGAGTTCACAGTGTTAATAAAGATAAAAAATACATCTTAAAAGAATTAGTAGATTCTCCATAACATAGTATATTTTAGGTCTTTTTTAACTTTTAGGTAATTTTTCTGGATTTTTAGGTCATTTTATAAGTAATTTTCTGTATTTTTTCGGTCATTTTATAGGTAATTTTTAAAATTTTTAGGTCATCAAAATCCGGGCCCTGGTATTATTAAACTGCGCCAGTATGATTATTTACTGATCATTTGCAACATATACACGCGTCAGTAATATGAAATCAGGGCTTCGGCCTACGTAAAACTGTATGTGGGTGCAGTAAGTAGAAATCGCC